CTAGGGAACAAGGTTGTTTCACATGTAAGTCCCTTCTCCCTGTCCCTCTCCTCCTCCCCATCCCTCCTCCCCCATGCCCAACCTTCCCCCCAACCCATCCATGCACCACTCCCCAGTCAGGGTAGGGCCCTCAACCGGGGCTCTGCAAAGTCCACCAAATCTTCCTGTTCTGGGCCTGGGCCCTTCCCCATGTGTCCAGGCCAGAATGCATCCTTTCACGTGGTATGGGCTCTCAAAGTCCCTTCTTACACAGGGAAAAATACTAATCCACTACCAGAGGATCCCTGGAGTGCAGAGGCCTGCTTATTGACATCCATGTTCAGGTGTCTGGATCAGTCTTATACTGACCTCCCCGACAGCAGCTGGGGTCGATGTGCTCTCCCTTGTTCAGGCCAACTGTTTCTGTGGGTTTCTCTAACCTGGTACAGAACCCTTCAATCTTCATTCCTCCCTCTCTTCTAAATTCCAGATTTCAGCTCAGACAGACATCCACAGACAGTTTTTTAAAAAGCTTTTACTATTATTTTATTCAAGGAATATTTTCTTTACCTTGTTTTTGTTCTCTACAGAAATTTTGACTAATTCTAGTGTTTTCTGATCTTACTCATTTTCTTGACTTATAAATTACAGGGTTCTTGTAAATAATGAGTATATTTGCAGATATGTAAAAGTAGGAATAAAAATATCACATTCAACAATTTAGATTCAGATAAATGTGGTTATAATAACCACCCTAATGCAAATGTAACTACAAAGTATTAATCCATATGAAATTTAATTTCTTGGGATAATAAAAGACAAAGTTTCTATGAAGATGACATTAGCTGCCCTTTTTTAAGTTTCTTCTAAAATAACTTGTATCAAAATATATACTCAAGAGATCTTAGCTCCATCACTATTAGTTTGGGATTCTACATTGTCTTGAAAACCTGCATATCCCATAGCATATACGTGTCATAGGAACCCCGGAAAAGTATAAAAGATTAAAGTAGGAAAGTAGCTCATTCTTCAGAATACAGAAACTGAAATATGTGGGAAGTTCAGCCTGTTTTCCGAAATTCCCTTCCCATTCATCTAGTGATGGTTAAAGTCTTGCCATACTATACACATCCTCTTGATGGACTTGTTCCTAAAGTGAAGGCATATAGCACACATCAGATGCTCTTTTTTTTCTTGGAATGACTTTAATCTGCAAGTATCTGACATCTTTAATCAAGTAAAATGTTTCCAGAAAATTACCTCAGTTATAAATAGTAAGCTCCCAAAGTTAAGAGTAAAAATAAATTCCCTTAAGTAATTATTGTGATATATATGGGTAGCCTTACAGAAAACTGACACTGGTCATATCACTAAGAGATTTCTCTTACTTAGGATTGATTTATTGGGCCTTTAGTGAGTATTTATATAGCTTATGTTGCTTTATAGGAATAAAAGTCTGACTAAAATAAAGGTCCTACACACATAATGAAAGACTTAATAAGAAATCTTACAAGTTATATAATTTAGTTATATTTAAGACACAATTTTGTATATCCAGTAAGCATTTTTTAGTTCTTATCTTCTTGTATATTTGAAAATCTTACCCACAGTTAAATTATTTAACTGTTTGGTTGGGGTTTTTTGTTTGTTTGTTGTTTTTAAAATCACATGCTTCTTACTAATTATTTTAACGAATGCTTTTTCTCTGTAGGTTACTATAATTTCTAGAAGTTTGAGTTTTTTATATCTGACCAATAAAATTAATATGAATATATTTTAAAGAAAAATAGTTCCTTGGAATGTTAGAAGAGTATAATTTATTTGACCTCTTAATGAGTTGTGTTCAGCCTAAAAGATCTATCTATCCCATGACTAAGCATCTACTAAGACTTGCATTTTCCCTTGTAGAAAACTTGTGCAGTAACTTTGATGGGTCCTCAACTCAGGACCTCCTTCTTGGTTATCTGTAGCCTTTGTAGCAATACATCACAGTTTAATAGTTCTCACAGTGTAATCCTTGCTTAAGAAACAACTGTTTGTAGCCAGGCGGTGGTGGTGTACACCTTTAATCCCAGTACTTAGGGCACAGAGGCAGGCTGATCTCTCTGAGTTCAAGGCCAGCCTGGTTTATAAAGCTACACAGAGAAACCCTGTCTCAAACAAACAAACAAACAAATAAATAAATAAAATCTGTTTGAAAAAAAAATCAACAGTTGTTCCTTGGGGAACTTTGGTTTTGTTTGTTTGTACGTCTGTTGTTGCTTTTTAGGAGTAGTTGTTTTTGCATTTTTTCCACTTCTTGAACCAAACCAAGGGCTTCTTCCTACTAGGCAAGCAATCTCTCACATTAAGTTCATTTGGGGCAATTCTTAATGTATTTTCTCAGTGCATGTTTTTCTCAAAATGTCAGATTCCCCAACTATCCCTTCTATAATGTCTAAAGAATTTGCATTTGAAATGTGTTTTAATGATGGATTCCCCAGCTAATCGGCTGCCTGACACTCAAGGGAATGCCAAAGACCCCAAAAGAAACAATGTTGATCCTTGAATGATACAGTGGTCTTTAGAAAAATCATCACCTGTGGTAGGAAGGGGTAGCAGTGGAAAGTAACACACTATGTGCACAATCTCTCAGGCTTTTGGGAAGTCATGGAAAAGAAATGATTATAAGAATAATTGGATCATTTTCATAAGCACTCTAGTCATACCATGATCAAAAACTTAATGAAAGGATCACTGTAATTAACCACTACTTGAGAGTACTGAGAGTAGAAGATCTCTTTAAGAAACTATGAAGAGCTTTCTATTTGGAATCACAGCAGGGACTAGGACAAGGGACTCTACCTGTTTAAAGTAGAAATTTGAGCTGGCAATTTATAAAGTCAAAAACTCTGAAACTCTTAATTTCCTTAAGCAGTCTAATAGAGAAATAGTCTGTTCTTTGTAGAGGCTATCATGTCCATCTTCTTTGAAATGATACAGAAAATTCTTGACTTTGAGGCAACACATACCCCACAGAACACATTGTTGGCTTTCAATCATAGCCAATAGATACTTCCTTAATTCACTCTATAGCATTACTTTTCCAGAGTTGGAAATGGACACTTGCAATCCTAGTGTTCAGAAGTGGAGGTAGAGTATTACTGGAAATCACAAGACATCTGATCTATACAGAAAGTTGCAGGCCAGCTGAGGCTATATAAGACAGCAGAAGCCTGTCTCAAACAAGGAAAGAAACAAATGTGCAAACAAACAACAATAATATTGCTTTTCATTGAAACTGTTATGTTTTTTTAAAGAGAAAGAAAAAGCTGTGATTCAAAAAGTAGACTCTAGTAGAAGTTATTACACTGTGTGTAGAATGAGATCCTAAGACTATTGAATTAAATATGATGGATAATAAAATTGAATGAGCTTGTGGATCGAGGAGATCAAGTGAGAATGAAAAGTAAAAGCTCATTGACATGTAAGCACTCTGGCATGACGGGCTCTTACCACCTTGGAGGCAGTGGGGAAGATAGAGCTCCTACTGAGTGAAGAGTAACTGCCATTATTGCAGTGCAGAGTGGTATAAAATATATAAAATAGATTTATGGGCTTGCTAAGGTGAATACCAGATAAGATACAGAAATTACAATACCTGACCCTATTCTGTATAACTATTTGGAGGATGTTCCACTGTCTAAAACAGTAAGAATACACTCATAAGTGAAGTAAAGACATCATTGAGAATCTCAATGCTCACAGTTCTTTCTAAACAATGCTGATGCTATTATGTAATTGGACTTTGCATGATTAGTGGGCATGACAATTTCTCCAGGTCATAGATATCAGATGATAGTGTTTAGCTGTCTCAGGCAGGGTGAGTATACTCATCTATATTAATGACTAACTTGATGCATCCAGCACTCTAGGCTCACAAAAATTATAAAAATTCTCAGGATATATTATCCCTGAGGAAAAATTAAGTAGATAGCCACTAAGTATTATACAATATATATTGTTAAAGGCAAATATATACAATAAAAAGACTAAATATGAACTGGAAAAAAACGATACTTGCTGAGGCAATTTCAGAATGTGCTTATAGTGACTAAATGGACAACTGAACTCTGCAGCATCATCTTGAGTCTGTTTTATGATGAGTCAGTAACAAAACACTTTCTAGGAAGAACGTGCATCCATTTACTTACAAAACAATATACTGGAGAAAAGATACCCATGGAACATTTTAGAGACATTACTTGCAGGATCTGTGTTGATCTAGATGTGCAAAATTCTTCAGTGTACCTGTTGCCATGGTATTATCTTGTCACAGGACATTCCACGTCACCAAGAAATTGTAGCTTTGTAGAATGATAGAAAGGGCTTTTGAAATGTCAATATAATCTCTAAAGATAGAATCCAGTGAGAAGAAGGTGCGTCTATCAGTTTATAGTGAAATTCTAAATCACTGATCATAATTACATGATGATCTCTTTTTAAAGCAGAATTCATGGGTCTAAGAAACAAGTGACCTCACTACCATCACACCCCACTGAAATCAATATGGCTCTTCCCACTAAGCTAGGCTTTGCCACTTTTAAGGACCCAGTTCCCAGAAAAGGAAAATCTGTTACTAAGTGACACAGGAAGAATTCCATTAATCTCTAAGCCATGTCCATTAGTTGTTTTAGTCTCCGTATCAACAAACAACACATAAGAAGAGGCACTGTCTGGAAACAGACAGCATATACATTTCACAGAAATAAAACATAGCAAGACAGCAAAGAAAGGGATGGATGCCCACTTCCTTTTTTCATATTCTCTCTTTCATATTGGGTGGTAAATAAGTCAACTCATCAAGCATGACTGAGAAAGGTATGGTGACCAATTATCTCTACTTCCTCTGCATAGATGTTATAATGCCCATACTAGGAAAGCTGCCCATGTAACACAATATACAAGGCCATGGTATGAGAGTTCTTGAGAAATAATAGTACAAGGAGATGATGGATGTGATCCCACCAGAGATTCTTGCAGAAATTTCTTCCAGGAAATGAGACGACCCAGAATCCTGGCTTAGACTCTCTCAGCTAGAGCCATCACATCTCACAAGTAGATCTGAGTAATTATTCTAGTTCAAAGCCAGATCTGCTCGGGACTACAGCTCTCATTCCTCCTGCTGCTGAGAGTATTGCAGCTAATGACTATCGGCCAATTCCCTTTCTAGAAATCATTGCAGTCCAAACACTGCTTGTGCTTTCAAAGGTCCTATAACCTGGTGGGAAAAGAATTAATTGAGCCACAATGTTGGCTTTGAAGATGTTACACAGTATATTTGCTATATTGGCATATCTCTTAGTTTCTGATTTATGTCATTCTACCTATGAAAAATACTTTTATTTAGTATTTATTAATAAGTAAAGATGGATTAATGAGTATATGAATATGCAGTATATGCCAAATATATATTAAGATATGTCTAAGTGATATATGTGTATTATTTAAATGGTGTGTACACACAGAACATATTTAAAATGTACATTTATATGTATTTACAATCTACTTCTAACATTTGATTTGCTTTTATAAATCTTATTCAGGATTGCTGAATAAAAAAATCATGAATGATTCTGACAGAAGCTCTGCCAATAGAATGTTTAGAATTCTATTATAGCAAGATTAGATTCTCAGAAGGCTAGTGACCCAGGACCCAAATTTAGTGCAGACCAGGATAATGGATTCATAAATGGTTGTCCAGATCTAGGTCATTCCCACCTGATCCTGATCACATCACCCCCCAACAAGAGAAGATCTAGGAATATATCTGAAAGGGGTCACTGGATGGGGATAACGCTATTGCTTAGTTTGGATGTGAATGTCCCCTTAGGCTTGTGTGTTTGAACACTTGTTCCCAGCTGATTACAGTGTTCCCAGAAGTTGTGGTAGGTTTAAGAGGTTAAGATTAGCTGGAGGAAATATGTCACTAGGGGCAGGTTTTTGGAGTTTTATAGCCTCCTCTCACTTCCTAGTCTCTCTCTCTCTCTCTCCTTTCTCTTCCTCTTTCTCTCTCTCTCTCTTTCTGTCTCTCTCTACTTATATGAGTGAATGAAATGTCATCAGTGGGCCAGCATAGCCTCACATTCCTGCCTCCATGATGAACAGTATCTTGTCTGGGACTATAAATTCTCTTAAGTTGCTTTTGTCAGTGTATTTCATCACAAGAATAAAAGGAAAGTAATATAGCTATTAATGATTCAGAGACCGAGGAGCCACCATTGTTATGTCATCAGCCAATTGTTACTGGCTAATTCTGAGGGAAACGTTTTTAACAAGAAAGAAAATAAAATTCAAGTGGCTAAACTGAATTCAGTTTGCTAGTCTGCTGTTGGATTAGGTTTATGTGAAGAGCTAATCATTGTGTGAATATTTCATAAGCTTGAGAAGCCCCAGAATCCCAACCTATTAGGATCAGACAGCACATGTCTCTGCTTGGACAGTGGAGTGAATTTGAACTGACAGTCCTTAATCTTCCACAAAAAGCAGCAGTTGTTCTGTAAATTTACAGTACTAAAATTAGAGGCCTGTGAGGTAGGTGTGAAAAGATTCTAATGTTGGAAGAAATTTAAGTAAAAAACTTAGAATGTTGCAAAACAAGAAATCAAAGTGGACTGTCATGTAAGTCACATTTTTAAAAGACTATCAAAAGAATTGAGGAATTTTGCATTCTGACTTTTCTTTTGCTCCATCACTAGCTATAACTTCACTACTAGTGTTGACTTTTTATTATTTTATACATCAAAGGAATCTTTCCTCAGGAGCTGTGACTTTTTTAGCATGCCATGTCCCATATGCTCACATCCTTTTTTATTATGCATATGTACACACTGTAGCTTTTCTCCAGGCTTTCACTTAAAAGCATTTGTCATCTGGAGTCTTTGATAGCCCTAAAAAAAGGCCAAATGCCTCATTTGTACTTATAATGAGAGTTGAGAGCATATAGGGTCATGAAATAAAGGTTAGAAAACCCATGCACTCAATGGGAGTTATTAAGAAAAGGCCCTAATACTAAAAATTATATATTGATAGTAAAAGCTAAATTGTGTTGACTCTTTACTGTGTTCTTGTGATTTTTTAAAAATGTATTCTTCTCTCATATATTACAACCCAACCACAGTTTCCCCTTCCTAACTCCTCTCAGTTACCTCCCCCCACCTCCCTTCTCCCCAGATATACTCCTCCATTTCTTTTTAGAAAAGAGCAAGTCTACCGGGATTTTAACTGAACATGGCATAATAAGTTACAATAACACTAGGTGCAAACCTTTATATTAAGGCTGGACAAGACAACCCAGGATGAGGAAAAGGGTTCCAAGAGCAGGCAAAACAGTCAGAGACACCCTCATTCCCAATGTTAGTCTTAAAAGAACACCATGCTAAACAACCATAACATATACACAGAGTAGCTAGCTCAGACCCATGTCAGCTCTCTGATTGCTGTTCTCTGTGGGCTATGTTCCTGTGGTATTTTTAAACCCTCTGGTTCCTACAATCCTTCCTCTGCCTCTTCCTTGGGATTCTCCCAAGATCCACATAACGTTTGGCTGTGGGTCTCTGAATCTGCTCCCTTCAGTAGACATTTTATTTTTTTTTGACCAGGCACGAGCTCCCTCTAGTGGCTTGGGCTATTCCCATTCCCTACCCACCCCTGTAATCCACTTGCAAAATCTATTCTATTTCCCCTTCCCAGGGAAACTCATGTATCTCACCTTGGGACTGCCTCGTTATTTAGCCTCTCTGGGTTTGTGGATTGTAGCATGATTATTATCCTTTACATAACAGCTAATATCCACTTATAGGTGAGTACATACCATGTTTGTCTTTCTGGGTTTGGGTATCTCACTCAGTTTGAATTTTTCTAGTTTTATTCATTTGCCTGCCAATTTCATGACATTCCACTGTGTAAATGTACTATTTTTTCTTTATCCATTCTTCTGTTTGGGGAAATCTACGTTGTTTCCAGTTTCTAGCTGTTACATATAAAGCTGCTATGAACATAGTTGAGAACATTTCCTTGTGAGAGGATGGAGCATCTTTGGTTATATGCCCAACAGTGGTATAGCTGGATCTAGAGGTAGCTATAGTCCCATATTCCAAAAAACTTCCATATTGATTTTCATAGTGGCTGTTCAAGTTTGCATTCCTACCAGCAATGACAGAACATTCCCCTTGCTCCACATCCTCACCAGTATGAGTTGTCACTAGTGTTTTTATCTTAGCTTCAAATTATCTACATAATAGAAACAGAAGTATTGCCAAATTCATTTTATGAGGCTGTAGTCATTCTTATATCCAGACCAAAGAAAGAAAGAGAATTGCAGACCAATTATCTCATGAAAATAGATGCAAACATAATAATTACTCACAAACCAAATGCCAGAAGACATCATATAGATCGTCCACCATGATCAAGTAGGCTTCATCCCAGAGGTATAGGGACAGATCAACATAAGGTAATCAGTCAATATAATCCACTGTATAAACAAATTGTAAGAAACAAAACACATGATCTCTTTATTAAATGCTGAAAAAGCATTTGACAAAGTCCAAAACCTATATGATAAAAGTCTTAGAAAAAGTAGTGATGCAAGGAACATACCTCACATAATAAAGGCAGTTTGTAGAAAACCTATAGCCAACATCAAAATAAATGGAAAGAAACACAAGACAATCCCACTAAAATTAGGAACAATACAAGGTTTTCCACTCTCTCAATGTCTATTCAATAAAGTACTTGAAGTTATGGCTAAAGCAATAAGACAAGTGAAGATCTAATGGTTACAAATTGAAAAGGAAGAAGTCAAAATATCTATCACTGTTCACAGATGATATGATAATATAGATAAGGGACTATGAAAATTCTACCAGAAGATTACTATAGCTGATAAAAACTTTCAGTGAAGTGGTTAGATACAACATTAACTAAAAAAAAAAGCAGTAGCCCTTTTATATACACATGCTCATGTTTTATGAACTATCTCATTTATTAATCCTCCAACAGCCTGAGTAATGTAATATCATTTCACTGATAAGGACAATCACTAAAGTTAAATAGTCTTTCAGAGTTATACAGCTGGAAGGATGTTAAGTGGACTGTGATGGTAATTAATAGCAAGTGTTTACTTCATTCCTAAGAGTCTATGCTGGTTGAATTCAGTTTCAGTGCTTTGATTTTTCTCTGTCTCTGTCTCTGTCTCTGTCTCTCTCTTTCTCTGGCTTTTTTTTCCAGATTGTAATGTAATTGTAACATTTCTCTCTTCCATTTCTTGTCTCTCTCTTTCTCTGGCTTTTTTTCCAGATTGTAATGTAATTGTAACATTTCTCTCTTCCATTTCTTCCCTCCAAAGCCTCCCATAAAACCCTCCCCACTCTCCTCCATATTAATGGCCTCCTCTCTCCTTGTTAATAATTGAATATATTCATTATGAGAAAACAATTAATGTATGTATATAAGAATGTGTGTTCCTAAAAGTAACCTATGAGTATATGTAACATTAGTTGTATGTGTTTTCAGAGCTGGCCATTTAGATTTCCTTCACTTTCATGAAATTTTTTCTAAGTGGCTGCTAGAAAGGAGGTTGAAAATGTAAGAATTTCTGTACTGTCTCAACAAATCTGAAGGAACTACCAATTTTTAGATTTTTTATCTGGTTGAAAATTTCTTTGTTATTGATTTTTGTCAGCTTAATCAAGCACTCAAATCACTGCCATCAGTAGACCGGGCATAGGTTTGCAATGCTTTAGAAGTTGTACATCTTGTAACATTGTCACTTGCCTGTTTTTATTTCTTCTAGACTTGGATGATCCCATAGTAACTGTTCATCAAAGCATAGGTGAAGCTAAAGAACAATTCTACTATGAGAGAACAGTGTTTCTCAGATGTGTGGCCAATTCCAACCCCCCTGTGCGCTACAGCTGGAGACGTGGTCAAGAAGTATTGCTACAAGGATCTGACAAAGGCGTGGAGATTTATGAGCCCTTCTTTACCCAGGTAAGAGATTAGGAACAGTATTCCTTCCCTATCTAACTGATAATTTCTTTACTCAACATATTCTACAAATCTACTCTTTTGTAAAAACAGTACATGTTTCATTGAAAGACAAGTACACATAGATACAAAAGACAACTGGTTTTATAAGTGATGTTAATTTGAAATGCTGATTCCTGTAATCATATTTCTTCATCAGTACCTCAGTGTCCATTTAAAAAGCATGAGTCTGTACTTCACTGATAGGTTTGATTAAAAACATATTTTAGAGGCATAATTGTAATTTTCCAACATTCAATGACAAATTATTATTTTTTCTTTAACTACTGTTATTACATATATATGGATAGATAGAAAATATATATATGTGTTCATATATACAGCCTGATATCTGTTTAATGTTGCTTCTATGTATATGTTGTCATGTTGACCACTTGATATTGGATCACCAATTAGGATCACCATTGTAGAAGATTAACTCTTCCTCTCCCTTTAGTCATTAATTGCCTGTAGCTCTTATTTGAGTTTAGGGCCAATGAAATTGTCGCCTTCTGCAGTTGCATGTCTATCATTGTTATCTTTGCTTGGCTTTTGTTTAGGCAGCCATGTTAAATCACGAGTGTAGCTTGCCTTTCCTTTCTAAGAGTTACAGCTCACAACTGACCTCTTGATCCTCTGGCTTTCTCTGCCCCTCTTCTACAATATTCCTAAGCTTCAGGTGTGCCTATTGAGCTTTAGTTGTAGCAACTGGCCCTAGGAGACCCATGTTCAGCAGTTCTCTGCATTTGGCCCAGTTGTTTTCTGTAATGGTAACTATCTGTTAAAAAGATAAGCATCTTTGAACTGTATATATTTGTGGGTATAAGTGCTTAGAATGAAGTTGGGAACATTACTGGTTTAATTAAGTGGCTGTGTTTCAGAAGCCATTCATGGGATCCCCTCTGCTAAGCAGTCCTAAAGTCTAATTAGACAACTGTTGGTTACCCCCAAGTTATGAATACCACAATTGTACATCTATGGATATCTTGCTGTGGTGGTCATTATTCTGGCTTACAGGCATCTGAGCTGTATAGAACTACTACTAGCTGTTTTTCTCCCTTGGCAGATTACATAGCATTTTCATATACCATGAAAACTAGTTTTGAGAAAGATTTCCACTAGACCCAATTAGATTCCATGTAGCCCTGTTTCCAAAATACATTTAGTAATAGGGTCTTATATTTAATTTCTTGGAGGAAACCATGGGAAACAGCAATAACTTACATTGTTTGGGGAATCTCTTGGATTCATCTGACCAAATACTGGAAAGGTTGTTTATTGTGTCTAGTACTAAGATTTTTTCTTAGTCTATAGGTCTTGGACAGGAGGAGTAATATTACCT